CCTGTCTCTCAGTGCCCCAAATGAAAAAGAAAACACTGTGATTGGTTGTCATCTCTGTCAAATATTACAGGTATAATAGAGGGAGGCAGGTCACCAAACCCAGGGGAAAATACCTATCTGAGACCATGCGGCTTGGCCTAGACAATATTTTTTTTCTGCTTTCTCCTCCTAAGACAGGACAACTCTACTGGTGGGAACACTAACAATACAAGCAGAAACTGTGATATGATAAGAAATATATTTGTTTTTTGTCCCTGGATCCAGGCGCTAAAACTGTTGGAATTTCCTTAGTGGTAGAAGTCTTTTGTTATTCATAATAAACCCCTTTTGACCTCACCTGAGTTCATGCTAATGAGGTGACTTAGGATGAAGACCATCGATAGTCTCAAGACAGGTCTAGTCACCAAAAACCAAGTGATTAGAGGTTGGAACTTTCAGCTTCCACCCTCCTCCATCTCTGCAAAGTTAAGCCCGATAAAAATTTCTGAACAATGAGATTTGATGAACTTCTAGACTGGTGAATACATCCACCTGCTGGAGGTTAGCACACCCTAACTCCACAGGAACAGAAGCTTCTGCACTAGGGGCCATTCCTGACATTGCCTTATGTACCTCTTCATCTGGCTGTTCATTTATATCCTTTATAATAAACCAGTAAACATAAATAAATAACATGGCTTCCTGGGTTCTGTGTGTGAGCCATTCTAACAAATTATTGAACCTGAGGAGGAGGTCCTGGGAAACTCAATTTATCCATGTGTCAGTCAGAAGTATGCTTTGAGAAATCTGATACTTGGACCTGGCCTCTGAAGTGAGGGCACTCTTGTGGGTCTGAGCCCTAAAACCAATGAAGTCTGACACCTGAGTAGTTAGTGTCATAACTGAACTGGATTATAGGCCGGGCGAGGTGGCTCAGGCCTATAATTCCAGCACTTTGGGAGGCTGATGCGGGTGGGTCACGAGTTCAGATCAAGACCATCTTGGCTAACTCGGTGAAACCCCATCTCTACTAAAAATACGAAAATTAGCTACGCCTGGTGGTGTGTGCTTGTAGTTCCAGCTACCCGGGCGGCTGAGGCAGGATAACTGCTTGAACCCGAGAGGTGGAGGTTGCAGTGAGCCGAGATCATGCCACTGCACTCCAGCCTGGGCGACAAGAATGAGATTCCATCTCAAAAAAAAAAAAAAATTAAACTGGATTGTTGGACACCTAATTGGTATCTGAATAAAATTAGGTAATTTCTTGGTGTGCAAAACGCCCCACACATTTGATATCAGAAGGGTTGTGTGGGTATAGAAACAGAGTTTTCTACTGGGGACACTATAGCAGGCAGCTGAGAAACTAGGGTAGATAATAGCCAATTAATAACTTTAAATTGGTCAGCATGGTGGCTCCCATCTGTGATCTCTGCACTTTGGGAGGCTGAGGCAGAAGGGCAGGGAGATCACTTGAGCTCAAGAGTTTGCAAACAGCCTAAGCAACATAGTGAGACCCTGTCTCTACTGAAAAAAAAAAAAAAAAAAAAAAAAGCCAGTCCTGGTGGTGTGCACCTGTAGTTACAGCTACTTGAGAGGCTGAGGTGGAAGGACAGCTTAAGGAGTTTGAGGCTGCAGTAAGCTGTGATTATACCACTGCATTCCAGCCTGGGTGACAGAGTGAGCTCCTGTCTCCAACACAAAACAAAACAAAACAAAAACAAAAGGAAACCTTACAATTATTGCAATAGAAACTAAAGAATACTTTGAAAAACCTTTTGGCCAATGTCTGTCTCTTAAAGTTCTGAACTTTTCACTTAGCTATTGATTAATTAGAGCTGTCAAGGAGAAGAGCATCTGGACTAACTTTGGGCCAAAAATTCTCCTAAAATCAACACAAAGAATTTTTTTTTTTTTAAGAGATGGTGTCTCGCTATGTTGCCCAGACTGGAGTGCAGTGGCTATTCACAGGCGCGATCCCACTACTGATCAGCACAGGAGTTTTGACCTGCTCCGTTTCTGACCTGGGCTGGTTCACCCCTCCTTAGGCAACCTGGTGGTTCCCCGCTCCCAGGAGGTCACCATATTGATGCTGAACTTAGTGCGGACACACGATTGGCATGGCGCACTGCAGCCCAGAACTCCTGGGCTCAAGCGATCCTCCCACCTCAGCCTTCCGAGTAGCTGGGACTACAGGCATGTGCCACTGCACCCAGCAACACAAAGACTTTTAATGAAAAACAAACAAAAAATATTGTCCAGTACTTCATATATGTATTAGACAACCGCCAAGAAATTATTCATACTCTATACAGCTGTAAAGCAAAATATCTGCTGGTATGCAAGCTAACACATATCAGTAGTCCTATACCATTTGCTTGTAGTTCTCATCGGTTATGATTGGTTGCTCTCTATGCCTTATCAGTTGTTAAATATTTTGAGTAACTCACTTGACCATTTCCCCAAAGATAGTGATTGCTCTTCAACATTGTAGGCCATTTATATTGGGCAACATTCACTAGAGTCATTTCCTTAAAGATTTTTGCCAAACCTTGATCTGTTTTGTTGCTGAGCAAAACACACAGTATTTGCTTTTGTGGCTGGTTTTATTAGCTGAACAAAATACATAGAATTCACTTTTGTGGCTGGTTTTATCCGCTTGTTGGCAGTGTGACTTTTGTCTGTTTTTGCTGTGAAATGTACAATGTTGAAGGATGCCTCTATAGTTTTGGTTTAAGTGATATTAATGAGTTTTATATTAGAAAATAGCATATTAGCTTGTTCTAGAAAAATTACTTGATTGAAACTTGGCTTTCTTTGAAAATGGAGCAAAGGCATATATACTTCATGTTATCATTTGACAAAACTTCACTATTTGACAAGGGATGGCATGAATGAACACCACCATATAATGCAATATTCAGATATTCATAATAGCAGTTCCCATTTGTATTTTTCTTTTTCAGGTCCTTGTGTAAAACCACCCCACTTTACATTTCACTGGAAGGCTATACTGTTTATCTTTTTAAAATTAAATTATTTGGTGTTGTAGTGTTTGTTGCCATCCTTTATGCTTCATTGGGTCACTGTTAGTCCATTTTTGTGACTTGCGGATAAAGCATAATATTATTAATTAAAATGCAAAATCATAGATGTAAAAAATAACATAAAAATATTTTCCAATATAAACTTGCCAATGCAGTTTTTACAGAGCATGCAAAGCAATAATCATTAAATATGTAATGGGATTTCTGTGAGAATAAAGATGAGCTTTTACAAAAGTTTTTAATAATGAGTAAGCTTTTTTGGGGGGGGAACAGAGTCTCACTCTGTCGCCCGGGCTAGAGTGCAGTGGTGTGATCTCAGCTTACTGCAACCTCCACCTCCGAGGTTCAAACGATTCCCCTGCCTGAGCCACCCGAGTAGCTGGGATTACAGGTGCTCGCCACTATATCCGGCTAATTTTTTCCATTTTTAGTAAAGACAGGGTTTCACCATGTTGGTCAGGCTGGTCTCAAACTGCTGGGACCTTATGATTCGCCTGCCTTGGCCTGCCAAAGTGCTGGGATTACAGGGGTGAACCACTGTGTCTGGCCAATAATGAGTAATCTTATACTTCAATTTTGTGAGATGAAGTGAAAGGAGAATAGAGTTTTCTATTTCTCCTTTCATACAGACACTCCCTACAAACCATCATGGATCAACTGGAGGTCTCAGGATCACATTTAAAGATGTACTGTTTGGCCGGGGTCAGTGGCTTATATCTGTAATCCCAGGACTATGGGAGGCTAAGGTGGGTGGATCATTTGAGTCTAGAAGTTTGAGACTAGCCTGGCTAACACAGTGAAGCCCTGTCTCCATTAAAAATGCAAAAAAATTTAGCTGGGCATGGTGGCACTTCTATAATCTCAGCTACTCGGAAAACTGAGACAGGAGAATCGCTTGAATCCAGGAGGCAGAGGTTGCAGTGAGCCGTGATCCCGCCACTGCACTCTAGCCTGGGTGACAGAATGAGGGTTTTTGCACATCTCCTTTTGAACATTGATATGTCCATTAATCTCAATATGTCAAAGATCTCAATATGTCCTAAAGATGCTCATCCAATTTATTTTTGGCAACTATTCAGAAAATTTTGAATCATTAGAAATTCTTCCATTTACTTCATGTCTCACTTACAATTAGCCAACAAACATATTCAATTGTATCTTCTTAACATATTGAAACTTACCTTTTGTTTCCATTCTGCTAATACTGCTCTTCTTCAGAATTGTGTAATTTCCTGCCTGTTTTGCTGCCATTCCTTCCATATTGATCAGGCTCTCCTGTTCTTCTCTAATTTATATTCCATGATTCCAAGGTGATCCTTTAAAAAAATATACAAATTTTAAGTATTACCCCAAAAATTATCCATACGTTTTTCAGGATAAAAATGGAAACCTTTAGTATCACATGCAAGTTTCTTCATTATCTGGTCTTGGCTCACTTACCTGTCACTTCCTCAATAGTACCATACACAATTTTTAACATTTATGTAAATATATCTTGGTATTCTTTGCTGTGTTTTGCACATACTATTCCTGACGGCACCTTCCTGTGTTTCTCCCAAGTCAGCTTTGCCTTGATCACACTCTACAAGATACAGTTCAAAACTAATACCACGCCGGGCGCGGTGGCTCAAGCCTGTAATCCCAGCACTTTGGGAGGCCGAGGCGGGTGGATCACAAGGTCAAGAGATCGAGACCATCCTGGTCAACATGGTGAAACCCCGTCTCTACTAAAAATACAAAAAACATTAGCTGGGCATGGTGGCGCGTGCCTGTAATCCCAGCTACTCAGGAGGTTGAGGCAGGAGAATTGCCTGAACCCAGGAGATGGAGGTTGCGGTGAGCCGAGATCGCGCCATTGCACTCCAGCCTGGGTAGCAAGAGTGAAACTCCGTCTCAAAAAAAAAAAAACAAAAAAAAAAAACAACTAATACCACATCTGAGTAGTCTTCCCTTATTACTCTACTATTTTTCTTTGTAACCAGGGAAGAACACAAACACGATGTAGTCACAAATTATGCCATCAAATTTCCTGCTTTTGGGGAAATTTCAGAGTTCTGCATATCCAGAGTGTGATGAATAAACCTCACCCTGGGAAAACCACCTTCATGATCATGTTATCTTTCCTGACAGATAAGTATACTCCAACATTTTTGAAGTAAACGCTCTCCTCTACACTTAATACTTCTCTACATAGCTCTATTATCACACCTGAAGTAGTTATTTTAGTATCTTTTTTTTTTTCTTTTTGTTTTTTTCCTTTTTTGTGGAGAACAGGGTCTTGCTATACTGCCCAGGCAGGTCTCGAACTCCTGGACTCAAGCTATCCTCCCGCCTCTGCCTCCCTAAGAGCTAGGATTACAGGCATGAGCCACAGCGCCTGGAGGGTTATTTTAGTATCTAAATATTTCTCAGTCAATCTTATCTTTCTGCACTTCTTGATTTTGTTACTCCAGTTATAAGATTATGTAAAGATAAATCAATTGGTGTATATTTATGCTCTTCTCTAACATATTTTAGCATGTAATCTTTTTTTAAAAAAATAGATTAAATAAGAGGACTAAATAAGCTTGTAATATTTTTCCCTAAACTTAGGACTCTCACACCCAGGCCTTTGTTAAAATATTGATAAGAATTTTTATGTCCTATGATGTAAAGTTTTTAAAATTTTTCTTTTTTTCAAATGGAGTCTTGCTCTGTTGCCTAGGCTGCAGCGCAGTGGGGCAATCTCTGCTCACTGCAACCTCTGCCTCCCAACTTCAAGCGATTCTCCTGCCTAAGCCTCCCGAGTAGTTGGGATTACAGGCACCTGCCACCACGCCTGCTAATTTTTTGTATTTTTAGTAGAGGTGCGGTTTCACCATGTTGGACAGGCTGGTTTCAAACTCCTGACCTCATGATCCACTTGCCTCAGCTGAATGCTGGGATTACAGGCATGAGCCATCATGCCCGGCCTAAAGTATTTTTTAGAAAAGGTTTTGCTCTGCTGCCCAGGCTGGAGTGCAGTGACAAGATCACAGCTCACTGCAGTCTTGACTCCTGGGCTCAAGTGATCCTCCCACCTCAGCCTCTCAAGTACCTGAGACTACAAGTGTGCACCACTTAGCTCAACTCAAGTAATGTGTCCACCTTGGCCTCCCAAAGTGCTGGAATTACAGGCGTGAGCCACCTTACCTGGCATAAAGTTGTTAAGCTTAAATTGTATGGTAAATTCTTTTTTGTTATGTTAAATTACTTATCCTGAAATATAACCAGATTTCAAATCCAAATTTTAAACATGTTGATGTATAGTTTTAGGGCAGAAGATAATAAAAAAATAAATTGCTGTTTCTTATGGGTTGAAATTTCCCAAGAAGAGGGGTGAATTAGTTTTTATGTTACAAAGGATCATCATACAAACCTATTTTATATGCACTATCTTGATATCAGAGAATTAAAGTGTTTTGAAAATCATTTTTATGTTATTGATTAGTGAATCAGTAGTATATAATTTATATAAAAAACAAACAAATAGAAGAAAGCTTGTGGACTGACCAGTAGACTGTCCAGTAGGAAGTTTCTATGCCACAAGAAGGATTAAGAGGGGGAAAGAATATAAGAACATACATCAGTATAATCTAGAAACAATAAAATTGCAAAAGTAGAAAAAAGCACAAAGAAATTTAACAATAAATAGCTAACACACTCTGTTTTGTGTAGTCTTGTTTAATAAATGCATACATTTACATTAGTATAGGAAAGTCACAGAGTCATCTGTTTCTATTTTGATGAAAGTACTATGACACCTCAAACAATCCAGTCCACAGCTAAATGTGGATCTGAGGACACTTAGAAGACTGATGAGGTATTAGCCTTGATTCTCTTCTGAAGTGCTAGCTGTGTCATGAACACAAAGGTTAACAGAATGTTTTGGAAATAACTTTGGAATGAAAGCCACAGGTTTAGGGAGAAAGTTTATTTCTTGATTGAAATATGGATAAATAACATTTCATTGTTTCATACAATATCAAATACTGTTTACAACTAGGGGCCAACATTTACTTAAATACACAAAATATTTTGATTAGTGTTTGATATATTTTTAAACTAGAATCTTTATATTTAAAATTAGTTTCTTATAGACAGCATACACTTGAGGCTTGTTTTTTATCCAATCTGACAATTGGTACTTTAATTGGAGTGTTTAGACCCTTTACATTAAAATAATTTTGTTGTGATTAAATTAAAACCAACCACCTTGGTAATTGCCTTTTATTTGTCCTGCCCACTCTTAGATTTTTTTTTCTTGTTTGTATTTAGATTAACAATATATTTTATGATTCCATTTTATCTCCACTATTGGCTTTGTATTTTTTTACTTTTTAGTTTTTTTAGAGACAAAGTCTTACTATATTACCCAGACTGGAGTGTAGTGGCATGATCATAGCTAACTTTAGCCTGGAACTCCTGTACTCAAGCAGTCCTCCAGCTTCAGCCTCCTAAGTAGCTAGGACTACAGGTGCATGCCATTAAGTCTGGCTAATTTTATTTTATTTTCAATTTTTTTTGTAGTGACCAGATCTCATTGTGTTGCCCAGTCGGGTCTTAAACTCCTGGCCACAAGTAATCTTCCTGGCTTGGCATCCCAGAGTGCTGGGATTACAGATGTGAGCAACTGCACCTGGCCTGGCTTATTATTTATACCTCTTTAAGGTATATTTTAGTGTTTGCCCTAGAGTTTATAATGTACATCTTTAATTAATTATAGTCTACTTTCAAATATTAATATAATACTGCCTCACGTGTAGTATATAAACTTTGCAACAGTAAACTCCGAATTTCTCCATCATCTGTGATATTGTCAGACATTTTACTTTTACATAAGCTATAAAATCCCAATACGTTGATACTACTATTTTTGCTTTAGGCAATTACCTTTTAGATGGATTAAAAATAAACAAAATATGACTTTTATGTTTAGCTTCATTTAAAGTGTTTCAGGAGGTGTTTATTTCTTTATGTAGATACAAGTTTCTGTGTGGTGTCATATTTTTTCTGCCTTAAGTACTTTTTAAAAACATCTATGGCAGTGTATGTCTGTGTGTAACGAATGCTCCAAAAAATATGTCTGTATTCTTCTGTGGTATAAAAAGAAATGTATTTGGTCTTTGTCTCTAGTTTCTGTCCCAGAGCACCTAAAAAGCTTGGAATTTCCTGAGATAGTGGTATCTTTTATTATTCATAATGAGCTCCTTTCTATACAACTGAGTTTATACTAATAAATTTAGGAGGGTGTCTGGGGATGACTGAAAAGTGTTGGAGATTAAGCTCTATAGAAACTCTTAAACTAGGAGATGTGATGAGCTTCTGGGTTGCTGAGCTTGCGGAGTTCTGGAAGAAAGGCTCACCCACAGAAGGCATGGAAGATCTGTGTGGTCTCCTCTCCCATACTTTACCGTATGTGTCCCTTTCACATGGCTGTTCCTTAGTTATATCCTTTATGATAAACTGATAAACATAAATAAAGTATAATTCTGATTTTTGTGAACCATTCTAGCAAATTATTAGACTCCAGGAGGGGCTTGTGGAAACCCTGATATTTAGTGTCAGAATTGAATTGAATTATAAGCTACTCAGTTAGTGTCTGCTGCAGAACTGATTGGTGTGTGGGGAGAAACCACACACATTTAGTGTCAGAAGTATGTTGTGAGAGTATAGTGTAGAGAGAGAGGAAAAAAAAAGAGAAAGTTCTAGAACTTGAAATGTGGTCCAAAAAGAAGCACTCTTGTTTGGCTGGGCGCTGTGGCTCACGCCTGTAATCCTAGCACTTTGGGAGGTCGAGGTGGGTGGATCACCTGAGGTCAGGAGTTCAAGACCAGCCTGGCCATCATGGTGAAACCCCACCTTTAAAAATAAAAATAAAAAATAAAATTAAAAAAAGAGAGTATAGTGTAGAGAAACAGTGTTTTATTTTCCTGCCTTCATTTTTGAAAGATTTTCTGGGTATAGCATATAGGTGCACAGATTTTTTTTCTTTCAGTGCCTTAAAGATGTTATTCCACTGCCCTTTAGTTTGCATAGTTTCGATGAGAAGTCTGCTGTAGTTCTTATCTTTTTTTTTTTCTTTTGCAATGTGTCCCTTAGGCTGTTTGTAGATACAGACTGTCCCCAACTTTTGATGGTTCAACTTACTATTTATTTATTTTCCTTCCTTTCTTCCTTCCTTTCTTCCTTCCTTCCCTTCCTCCCCTCCCTCCCTCTTTCCTTCTTATTGTTTTTTTCTCTCTCTTTCTTTCCTCCCTCCTTCCCTCCCTCCCTCCCTCCCTCCCTCTGGCCCTAGGCTGGAGTTCAGTGGCATGATCACAGTTCACTGCAGCCTTGACTTCCTGGGCTCGGACTACCTCAGCCTTCTGAGCAGCTGGGACCACGGACCCATGCCACCATACCTGGCTAAATTTTTATTTTTTGTAGAGATGGGGTTTTGCCACATTGCCAATGCTGGTCTCGAACACCTGGGCTCAAGCAGTGCACCCACCTTGACCTCCCAAAATGCTGAGATTACAGGTTTAAGCTACTGCCCCTGGCCCTCAACTTTAACTTTTTTTTTTTTACTTCATGATGGTGTGAAAGCAACACACATTCAGTGGAAACCTTCCTTCTCTCATGATCCTAGGCACCTACAGTGAGCCATTGCTCCCAATTACCCTGCATTTCTGACCGACACTATTTTCAATTTAGGATGAGTTTATTGAGATATAACCCCATTGTAAGTTAAGAGGCATTTGTACTCTCTTTACCTTTGTCTTTCAGTTGTTTGAATATTTCAGGTCTAGGTTTTTGTTTATGTACTTTGTATTTATCTGGCATAGGGTTTTCTGACTTCTTTGGCTTTAGGCTTTTGTTGCCCAGGGGAATAGGGTCATAGTAAAGTTTCCTGTCCCTCCTAGAGTGGTGACAACTCCCTTACTCTACATTTGCATCACAAGTGAGTCTTTCATTGGTTTCCTACTGCGTCTGTAATCTTTCTCATGACCATAGAATGAAGGTCCACGGAGAGCCTGTGAATGGGTATAGATACCCCTGAGTCTGCTGCTACTGTGGGTTTTATACTCTCATGATAGTCAATGCTCAGATTTAACAATTTGTTGCTAATAGCATATGA